GCGCTCAGGTTGTGAAATGGGAGTGACAGGGGAGCAAATTTCAAGTCATTTCTAACACTTGAATCTATGCCGTGGGGTGGGGGGTCCCTCCCTCGGGAGGCACTGGACTTACTGCTTCTGGAAGAATCAGTGCAGAAATTTGGAACTTCTAGGGCTGGCCCTTCTCTGGGCCACAGACATCCCATCTGTATGGTGGGGGCTGTTCTCTAAAGATCAGTGATTCTCCACCTGGGGACATGCCTCCCTCCACCCTGACCCCTGGAGTGGGGAAAGTGGTGTCGCATCAGATATTCTAGCTAGAAGAGGTGGGGTACCTGTGCGGTTTAAAAAGCATCTTCTGAACGCCCATTACTTTGATTGGTTTTCATTCACTTTCTTTGGAAATTCTATTTATTTATTTATTTTTAATTTTTGTTATGGTGACATTGATTAATGAAATCCAGTAAGTTTCATGTGTACAATTCAATAGTAAGTCATATATATATGTATATTGCATTGTGTTGTTCATCTCCCATAGTTAGATTTCTTTCTGTCATCACATATTTGACTTCTTTTACCCTATCGACTTCCCCCTTCCCCCACTATCCTCTGGTCACCATTAAAATATGGAAATCTTCACGAATTTGTGTGTCATCCTTGTACAGGGGCCATGCTCATCATCTCTGTACCATTCCAATTTTTAGTATATGTGCTGCTGAAGCAAGCACACTTTTTTCTTATTCTTTTTTTTTTTTTTTTTGGAAATTTTAAACCACATTGAAGAAGGAAGTGTTCATTTTATGTGGATCACAGATGCCCCAGGGTTTTAGAAAATTGACAGTAGTCTAGATGGATGCTTTGCAAACTTCAATGGGCATGTACGTCCCCTGAGGATTTTGTGAAAGTGACAGCTCTGATTCCACAGGTCTGAGTGGGGCCTAACATTCTGCAAATTCTGTGAGCTCCCAGGTGACATCAGTGCCGCCAGTTCATGGTCTCCTCAAGATGGTATCCTAGGCCCTTCCCACAGCTCCTGGGACCCTGACTCCCTGGATTGGCAGAATACTGGTTGCTTATGTATAAGTCCTTGGTCCATTCTTTATAGTGTCTGTTAAATGGAGAAGAACCAAGTAAGAATGAAAACCCAGGCATGAATGAATCCAGGCATGACTTAAGAACTGTGTTTTTGTAGCAATGGAACTAGGCATTTATTGTTCAGATTTACATCTTCTGCATGTGTTTATCTCCGTGCCCAGGACTATTGATCATGTGCAAATAATGCTCTGTTGTCTTAATCCTACTTTTATGGCCAATGATGTGTGTTTCATTCTGATTAGGCATATATTTGCGTAAACATATATTTCTCAATGTTCTCCCTCTAATCACGACCCAGGGCTGTGAGTGAGTCATTGAAGGAAATCGTGTGTGAGGAAGGAAGATCATTTCTGGAGTCCATCTCCTAATGCAGCCTTCTGTGCTGCCCACTCCGGGCCTGCTGAGGAGAGCCTGTTATCCCTGAATGTGCCTGCACGGCTGGCCTAGGGAGCCAGCACGACTTTCTCCATGAATCTACACAGGCTTGATGGGCCTGCCAATACCATTGATCGCCACCCGCTCAGAGCAGAGTTGTTTCGCTCATTTCCAGGAATTTGTTATATTTCTAATTCGATTGAGTATCACTTTCCACCGCCCCACTCCTCCCTAGCTGCAGACAGTGCCGTTCCTCAGACTCCTCCACACTCATCCTGCCCCAGGCTGACTGTGCAGAGGTCCTGTCCTTACCAGAGGATGGCTCAGGGCTTAGCATCTTGGGCCCGGGATCTGGACACCTGGACACTTAGGCACCTGCTGTGCTGAGGTGTGCCCTGCCCACTGGCTGGTCCTTGCCCTGCTGGGCCCCGGCCTGTCCTGAGTCCCGGCTTCCTAGGCCAGGCTTGGACTCCACTTGACTCTCATTAGCCTCCTTTTCCCAGCAGCTGCCTCTGCTCCTGACTCCCAGGGCCCTACCAACCTTTAGGCCTTGAGCATTCAGCTTCACTGTGTGCCTCACTCCGCCAGGCTGGATGCTGAACCCCAAACTTTGATTCTTCTCCCTCTCTTTCATCTTCTACCCCTTTCCTCTGCTGGCTTAGAGGGTGTTTCATGATGCCAGGGAGCAAGGAATGCTGAGGGAGAGAGGGAATTCCAAGGCCGAGAGTAGGAAACAAGAGGGAATGAGCCCGGAGGAGGGTGGGACGAATCAAAGGCAGGCTTTGGAACAGAGGTTCCTGATGATAAATTTTAACACACGATTTCATATATCTATATCACACACACACACACACACACACACACATAATTGAGAGAGGGAGAGAGAGTGAGTGTAGTATAAACACACACATATCATGAACACATACCTGGCATTCTTCTAATGCACACGGATATGCATTTGTCATTTAGTGCTCTCAACAGCCCTGTGAGGTGGGTATTATTATTTCCCTCATGTTATGGATGGAAACTGAAGTGAGGATTAGTGAAGTGACTGTCAAGGGCACACAGATAATAAGATGCAGAGGCAGGATTTGGATCCGGGTGGTCAGACTTCAGAACTCTGTCTTGACTGCTGCATGGTGTTGTTTCAAGCTCCTGACTTTGGCGGCGTGGAGGTTACGGTCCCCTCTGAACATCTGAAGGTCAGCATAGACTCTCCCCTGCAAAGGTACACACAGTCATTTTCAAATGTATGTTTAATTTGGAGATACATAAGCTGCTTGGGACCCATCTTTGAGCCCCAGGCTCAGAACACCTGCTTTAGGGGCTGCACACATGGATGGCATTAGTGAAAACAGCAGCTTATACTTTGTGGAGCATTTGCTGTGTTCTGGGCACAGTGCTAAAGGCTCTCTGTGAATTATCTCATTTACTCCTCACAATTCCATGAGATAGGTGCTATCCCCCCTATTGTACAGATACAAAAACCGAGGTTTAGAGAGGTTAAGTCACTGTCCCAAGCTCAAGCAGCTAGTAAGCCCCAGAGATGAATTTAAACCCAGGTCTACTGACCCCGAAGCCAGTGCTCTGTACACTCTGCAGCCGCCCTGCAGAGGGTGGGTGGTTCCTTGTACCCGTGCCTACCTAACCCGAAGGAGAAAAGCAGTGACACAGAGGTGGTTTAGCTTCTCATGGATGCTCCTTGGACATTTTTCCCTCAGCCCAGACCTGCTGGAGTCTGCTGTTTTATCATGGGCTCTGTGCACATCTAGCAGAGTTAGCCCCATCTCTGAGAGCAGGAAGATAGTCAGAAGCAGGTGGGATGGGGAGACACTTTCAGAGGAAAGAGAACGTCACACAGGAGAGGGTGAGAACCCATAAGAAAGGGGAGGGTTTCGAGAAGTGTCTTCTTGCAGAGCAGGGTTTGGGCATTGGTTTCTACAGCCAGTTTTGTCTCTTTGCTTCTCCAGGGACTGTCACTTTTGGGGTCACAGAACAGGGCCTTAGAGACCTACAGAAGCAAGGGTGGGACTGGGGGCCATAGAGCAGGACAGGCCACAGCAGTGCCAGGTCCAGACACAGAGAGCTCTTGGCTGTCTCCCTTGCCCCAGCTGCTCTGCCATCTGAGATGGGTTCTCATACTATTTTCTGGTTGATATCATATTCACCAAAGTGAGGAGTGGAGGGTCCTAAGAGCCACATCTGTCCTGCTTGATTCCCCACTGGAGGGACTCCCCAATCTGATCCCATTCCGATATATGAGAGGCTTGAAGCAAGTCCCTTCAGCCAGCCGAGCCAGCAGGTTCCTCACTGGGAAAATGGGAGGAATAGTTCTGACCTCTTGGCTGTGCACCTGACGGCAATAATAGCAACAGGTTGTCAGACCTCAAAGAGGTGCTGTGGCAGCGAGAACCAGTGCGTGTGTCCCTGTGTGTGGCAGCGGGGATGCATTGCGGTTATGGGGCGGTAGGGTGTCCAGTGATCCATTTCATTCACCTGGGGAATATTAGTGGCTCCTATTTATTGAGCACTTACTATGTGCCATGCTCTGCTCTAAGCACTCTCCATGTCTGAACACCTAGTGAAGCAGGCATCCCTATTTAACAGATGAGGAAGCTGAGGCACACGGAGATTAAATGGCTAGCAAGTGGAGGTGCTGGGCCCCTGACCCCAGTCTTAGTGGTGAGATGAACAGAAGTGACGAGCGGTGGCCCTCAGTGCTGAGGAGAAGCCGGGACATTGTCTTTCACTGTGACAGAGCCTTGATGAGTGTCTGGGTCACCTAAGGATAGGTCAAGGTTGGAGGCTACCTTGCGGCTCTCATGCGAAGATGCACGGAGCTTGGTGCACTGTTGGGCAAGCTTTCTTATCATGGCACTACTGATATTTGGGGCTGGGTAGTTCTCCATGGTTGGAGGCTGTCCTTCATGTTGTAAGATATATCAACCCTGACCCAATAGCACCGTTTCCCCCACTGCAGAAACCAAAAAATTGTCTTCAGACATTGCCAAATGTCCCTGGACAGGGAGGCAAGATTGCCTCTGGCTGAGGACCAGTGGTGTAGAGTTAGCAAATGTGTACTTCCCGTCTGTCCCCTTACGGTTTCCTGTGCAATTAGCTACCTCCAACTGCAGCAAAAAGCTGGCTTTTCCAGCCCATGGGGATACAAGTGGGTGGGGGACTTTGTGCATCTCAGCTTCCTGGCAGAATCAGGGGTGCACGTGGGTGGGGTCACAAAGGTGAGGCCTGGTCAAGATGGGGACTGGACAGTGGCTGCTTTCCAAGCCTTCATGGCCTTTTTATCCTGTTCCATTAACAAGATACATGGTACTTCTTTTCCTCTATTCCCGCAAAGAATCAATTGAAAAGATCAAAAATATGGCATCTGGAGAGTTTAAAATTAGATTCTTACAAAATACAAAGTAGAAGAGAGAAGAAAATAATAGAAACAGGGAGCCCCATGACTTGCACAAAACCTACATTTGTGGCCTGGGAGAAAATGGTGAGACTCCCAGCTGAGAAGGAATTCCAGGATGCTGGGGGCGGGGTGCACTGGGAGCAGGGAGAGGCGCCGCCTTTCAGGACTCCCCCTGGCTGGTACTCTGCTCCTCCTCCGCCAGCGCCTCCCCATCCTCAGCCTCCTCGTCCTCCTTTCCTTCCTTCGATACATATGCTTTCATTGTATCAATGTAGTCTAATTATAGAAAACTTGGAAGAGCAGACTATTATAAAGCAGAATTCTAAAAAGTCAGCTGTAATGTTGCCACTCGAAAAGAAGCACCGATAAGACACCCCCACACAATTATACATTGAGTTTACTAAAATTGGATCATACCGTATATCCTGTTTTATAACTGTGTTCATTTTCCCTCACTTAATTTGTTCTAGACCAATGGAGGAATCCAGCCTTTCTGAGGTGTCCCCGCCCCTCATCCTTTCAGTCATGGATGTCCAGGGCCCTCAGTGTTGCAGGGGCAGACAGGGATGAGGGCAAGAGCACCCCCCGCCCTGACATACACAGCCAAGCCCTGACTCCCCTTGAGTGCTCACAGGCTGTAAAAGGACGCAAGACTACCGATGGCCTGAGAGTTGTCACAAGGCAGTATCTTATCTGTGATGACTTCCTGGAAGAACCCAAGCTGGGCTTTGAAGAATCAATCAGAATTGGCTGGAAGGAGGGACAAGAGAGGGAATTGCAGGGAGGGATACAGTGTGAACCATGGCTGGGAGTCGGGGCCACCCAGGTGTGTTGAGGGAT